AACCTTTCTGAGTACGGGTGTGGCCAGGGAGAGGGTGGCTGAATTGAAAAAGAGGTCAAGGTGTGTGGAGATAAAGTCAAGAAGCTGATAGTTTTGAAGGTTTTAACAGAGTCCCTGAAGGGGAGGGCATAATTTGAGAAGACAGTGATTTAGGGCCTCGAGATTTTAATGAATGAGAAGCAGGGGACTTAGAAATGACAGGGAACAGAAAGTCATGGAAGTCCAGTGATGGATGTTTGTGCTCGCTCCACATTCCTTCGTTCCTCCTTCTATTAGCAGCATCCTGATCCGGCTGCGGGAACCCTCTGTCCTCCCCGGGCACACAGGGGGCTTCTGAAATACTAGTAATATTCTCTTAACCTGGGGAGTAGGAACATGAGCGTTTATTGTTCTTTCAATTGTGTAGTTATATTTTAGTCTTTAAACGTTTTATATGCTTTATACATACATTTCACAGTTCAAACAAACAGACCTGCGAAAACTTCCTTTCTCCACTCTCCGAAGATAAGGACCTGGTGCAGGTCCGGGCAGTCAGAGTTAACAAAGCTTGATTTCGATGCCTGACCCAATTCAGGCCCACGAGACACCAGCCCAGGGCTTTGGCTGGAGCTATTAGGAAAGAGGTGCTCTCTTTCTGCTGAAGTTGTGAGGCTTATTTGTAGAACATATCCCTTCGCTAGCTTGAGAATAAAACTAACACAGAAGAAAGCAGAGCCTAGAGACAGAGAGTGACAGATTTCCAATATCATTTGAATACCTAGTTCCAGCCCCTCCTGAAGCCGAATTACCTGGGGCTTTTCTTTTTAAGATTTTATTTATTTATTTGACAGAGATTGAGAGAGAGAAAACACAAGCAAGGGGAGCTGCAGACAGAGGGGGAGGGAGAATGGGCTCCCCCCGGGAGCTGGGAGCCCAACGCAGGGCTCGAGCCCCAGGCCCTGAGGATCGTGACCTGAGCTGAAGGCAGATGCCCAACCAACTGGGCCTCTCAGGTGCCCTTACCTGGGGCTTTTCAAAGTATAAACCACTAGATTTTGTTTTTCTTTGCCAGTTTGCATTTGGTTTATGTCCTTTTAACTAGAAATTCCATAATTCGGTGGAATAGCCAAATAAAGGATTCTCAATTCAACAGCCCCTGTGATCCTTTTCAACACATAAGTCAAATCGTGCTCTCCTGCTGGAGACCCTGCAGTGGCACTCAGAGTAAAGGCCACCGTTCTCAGGTGGCCTATGATGCCCTACAGAATCTGGATCCTTCCCTCTCAGCTATTAGTCAACAACTCTCTATTGTTCACTCTGCCCCAGGCACAGTGGCCTCGAGGCTATTCCATACTACACCAGCCAGATGCTTCAAGCCTCTGCTTTAGCTGTTCCTTCCACCTGGACACGCCTCCAGACATCTGCTCACTGACTCCCCCACTCACCTCCTCCAAATCTCAAATTCTCAGAAGGCCTATCCAAATCCTCCTCCCACAGCCGGTGATCCTGAACCTCCCCCCACCAACCTACTCTTTCTCCCTTCCATAGCATTTATTATATAATATAGTATGTGCTCACTAAAACGTACCCAATGAGGGCAGGAGTCTTCCACTGGTTGACTCATCTCAAGTTCCTGGAACGGTGCCTATCCTGTAGTAGGCCCTCAAATACGTGAAGGAACAAATAAAATGACATGGGCTTCCAGGGAGAAGAGCTTAGTTCGTAAAATAGGCAGTGGAGAGAAAGGACACTGAGCCCCATCTCTTGATCCTGATATAAGTGGAGTGTAGGAAGAAAAGACACCTCATTTCGAAGACTTTTGGAGGAGCTGTAACCTAAGAGGGCAGGAAGGAGGGGGAAGAGTTCAGTGAAGAGGCTGAGGATGTGGGAAGGGGTGTTAACCAGTTGGGGCTTGAGTGGGCTTGGTGTGTAAGTTTGGGGAGACATATAAAAGCTGGAGGCTGAGTCAGGGGAGAAGCAGCTCAAGAGTGGTTTGCAGATGAAAGTAAGAACAAGAGGGATCCCTGGGTGGCGCAGCGGTTTGGTGCCTGCCTTTTGCCCAGGGCACGATCCTGGAGACCCGGGATCGAGTCCCACGTCGGGCTCCCGGTGCATGGAGCCTGCTTCTCCCTCTGCCTGTGTCTCTGACTCTCTCTCTCTCTGTGACTAAATAAATTAAAAAAATAAAAATAAAAAAAATAAAGTAAGAACGAGGCAGGCCAAGTGGTTTATTTACACTAGGTGGAGATGAAGGAGGTAGTAATGGAAGGCCTGTGAGTTCATCTGGCATGAAAAGAATTAGTCCGAGCAATCCTTGGAAGATAGGAAGGATTCTTAGAAGTTGGTGGATGAAAAAGCCCTCGTATTTGGTTGTCATTTGCTTCTTGAGCAAGCATCCCAGACGCCGCTCAGAAGCATCCGCCGGACCAAGACACAAGGCTTACCTGTTCTTGGCGACATCCTGGGTCCACAGAAAGTAACCCCCCTCTGCATAATATAATAACCCTGTGCCATGAGCAGCCTGTCAAACCCTCGTTCTCCAAGCCCAGAACTGATTCTGAACCAACATCCAGGATCACAACTCCATTGTCCAAAAAAGGCGAGAAAACAGGTTGCTTTTCAAAGACGGATCAGAGCACTCAGCTTTCCTACCTGTCCTCCCGTGACCCCCAGGCTGCCTGGGCAAGAGAAAGAGGGTAAAGAGAAGGCTTCCTTCCACCGATCCTGACTCACCTCTGTTGCACGCTAGCTTCTCTCTACAGAAATTTCTTCACAGTTGCTAGAACACACGTGCATGCCAAGATTCAAGGAAAATGTTACTTCCAGTCAAGGAGAAGAATTGCGTTACTTAACCTCTAAGGAAAAGTGGCTTACTATAAATCAGGCCCTGGGGAGTGATGTCATTTTGATGCTTCTTACAGCTGTAAGGAGACTTATTAAATATTCAATAATTAATAAGAACAGCTTCAAAATTGTCCTTCTCACAGAACTGCCCCTGTAAAAGAAGCCAGCGGGAAGGAGACTTGGGCCTGACTTCCCGCCCACCAACAAGACCTTAGTGGTACAGGACGTCTGTCCTCCCAGTATTTAGTAAAATGCCCATATTTCTGAGGCAGGTATCCTCCAGGAGAGGATCATTAAGCAATTGTTTAAACCCGTGGGAGCACCTGGCTGGCTCAGTCAGAAGAACATGTGACTCTGGATTGCAGGGCCATGAGTTTAAGCCCCACACTGGGTGGGTAACGATTACTAAAAATTAAAACAGTAATAATAATAATTACAAACATTTAAAAAATAAATAAAATAGCCACCAGTGGCCGCAGCATTCAAGACGGTTCCAATAATCCCTACCTCCCGGTATTTATTCCCTCTTCCCACTTTGTACAAGCACTGGTTTGTGTGACAAACAGAATATGGCAGGATTATGTCACTTCCAAGACCAGATTTTACAGGAGTGTAGCTTGAGTCCTGGGATCTCTTAGAACACTTATTCTGGGGGGAAACCAGCTGCCAGGTCAAGGAGCCCTATGAGGAGGATCTAAGGCCTGCCAACAGCCCAGTGAGTGAGCTTGGGAGCTGATCCTCCCACAACTGAGCCTTCAGATGACCCAGCCCTGGTCAACACCTTGACTGCTACCTCCAAAGAGACCTGAGGTCAGAACCACCTGGCTAAGCTGCTCCTAGCTGACACTACTGACCCAAACACACTATTTTCAGGTGCTAAATTTCGGAGTAATCTGTTACACAGAAATCGATAATTCACTACCCTGAGAAGGAAAATCAGAAGGTTTAACTTGGGTCTCTATCCTACATACGTGTAGTGCAGGAACAACGTCTCCGCTTGTAAGAAAGCCACAAATTATTCATTCAGTCACTCGACAACTGCTTATTGAATGTCAAATATGCACCTGGTATTTCCAAGCAACATCACCCTTCGTATATAGTTTATCATCCATAAAATAAAGAGAAAAAAAATCACCAACAGCCCTCTCCGTCCTCCCCCCACACACACACACCTACTTCAAACTGCTCAATCCATTGGTTTCATCAGCTTTTTAAATCTTTCTGTTCCTAATGCTCTACTCCTCACTCCCGGCTTTCACAAACTCTTTCAGGAAGGTACATCAAGTTCCCCTCCGTGGCTATTTTGAGTGCTCCATGCACTGATACTCATTTTTCTCCTACCACACGCCCTCCCATCTACGGGGGAAAGAATCAGGTCCTCTGATTCCATGTAGCATTGGGCCAAGGAAGAATTCACTAGGAGGAGGGAATCCGGATCACAGGTGTTAAGAACAGTTCTAATGTCTGCAATGAGTGGGCAGGTGGCCACGGCAGCTGGGGTGGGGGGGCAGGGGGGTGCCGCCCCCCGACCCTTCCCTGGACTCGTGTTGTCTCTCCAAGCGGCACCAGGATCAGGCTCCTCTAAGGAAATCAGGAGCCTCCTTCTGCACAAAGGAGGTCAAAGGGCGGCTTTCTTTCCATCAACCACAAACCGGGCCTCTGGCAAAGCTGACCAGTGGGGAAGGCCCCAGACCGAAGCCACAGCGAGACCGTCCCCTCGGCCGGGGTCCGAGTCAGATGACTCCTCGGGGCGCACAGCAAACCTCAGCGAGGCTCACCCCCACATGCCGAGCGTGGCGCCAGTGCGCCGGGCTGGAAGGCCACGGCTGCCAGTCCTGCCCGGCACCCAAACCTGAACTCTTGCCGCCCCGCAGTCCCAGGAAAGCGGGGGAAGCCACAAGTGCGCGGGCAGCCGGCCTCCGGGCACGCACCTGGCGGGACTCGGGACCGCGTCCGGCACACGCGCCCCCCGGCGCCGCCGTCACCGGCGCTCGCCACCCGCCCGCCGGCCCGGCCCGGCCCGGCCCGCAGCGAGCGCGCCCTCCGCGAAGGCTCGGGGCCGCGGGCACGGCCGCCCCGGGCAGGGGCGCAGCGGGGGCGCGGCCCGGGGTCCGGAGGGAGCCCCGCCCGCCCGCGCCCGCGCCCGCCCCCGCCCCGCTCCCCGGCGCGCGCCCCACCTTGTCGCCGAAGCTGCGAGCCGTCAGCAGGTCCGGGCTGGGCGTGCTGTCGCCGCCCACGGCCTCCTCGCTGCTGGAGCCGGCCAGCGGGTGCGGCATGTCGAGCAGGGAGTGCGGCCCGGTGGACGGCAGGCCCCTGGGGGGCCCGCCCGACATGGCGCGCGCCGCCGCCGCTTCCTCCCGTGCCCGCCGCGCCCCGGCTCCCGGCTCCCGGCTCCCGGCGCCCCGCTCGGCCGCGCAAGGTCCGAGGCCCTGCGCCCGCCGGACCGGGAGCCGCCGCCGCCGCCACCGCCGCCGCCGCCGCCGCCGCCGCCGGCTCGTCTCTGCCCGCGCGGGCCCGGCTGGGCTGGGCTGGGCTGGGCTGGGCTGGGCTGCTCCGCTCCGCTCCGCTCCGCACCGCGCGCCCCCGCTGCGCGCCCGAGGCCCCGCTCCGCGCCCGAGCCCGAGCCCGAGCCCGCCGCAGCCGCTCGCTCGCACCTCGGCCGGGGGCGCCCAGCCCGCTCCGCCTGCGGCCCCGCCCCCGCCGCGCCTCGGCTGCCAGAGGAGGGAGGGGGGGAGGGAGGGGAGGGAGGGGGGAAGGGGAGGGGGAAGGGTAGGAGAGAGGAGGAGGTGGAGGAGGGAGAGGGAGGAGGAAGGAGAAGGAGGAGGGAAGAGGGGGAGAAGGGAGGGGGAGGAGGGAGGAGGAGGAGGAGAGAAGAGGGGGGAAGAGGGAGGAGGGAGGGGGAGGAGGGAGGCAGGGGAGGGGGCCGAGGAGGCGCGCCCGGAGCCCCGCCCCCGCCCGCAGGGAGCGCGCCCCGAGCCCGGCCGCTGCCCTGCCGTCCGCGTGGCCACCCTGGCCTCCGAGAGGCCGCCGGGGGGAGGCTGCGCGCCGTCCGCGGACGAAGGTTTAACGGAAATCAGCGGTGGAGAAAGTCGTTGGAGCCTCCCGACCCACTGCGCCCGCGGCAGCCGCCGGGGGGGGGGGGGCGGGAGTCGGGGTCTTCTGGCCTGGAAGACGCCCCGAAATGGAAGGAATTACGCCGCGTAATCTCAGAACCGCACCAAAGGCCCCGAGGCGCGGAGGAGCCGGAGCACCCGCGTGGGGCACGGAGACGGGAACGCGGGAGGCGGTGGGAGCCGCCCCAGGCCCGTAGCCCACCCGGGCCAGGCCGCACCTCGGAGGACGGAGCGTGGGAAAGGCGGGGCTGCCTCCAATGAGGCACGGTTCAAACTTACACCTTGACCCAACCGGCTTTTTCATGCGCTCCTGCCTCCTTTCCAGGCCTTTGGCTGAGCTGCTGTTAGCAAAGTAGAGTCACGGAGGTCGGAGGTCGAAGCTCACCTCTTACCCCACCTTACCTGTCTCTGCAGCTTCTTTTCTCAGGACCAGGTCAGTAGAAGGCACCAGTCTGCACAGGAACAGGTGGCTTCTAGGGACGCCTGGGTGGCTCAGTCCCTTAAGCATCTGCCTTGCTCAGGTCCTGACCCCAGGGTCCTGGGCTCCAGCCCCATGTGGGGCTCCCTGCCCAGGGGGAGCCTGCTTCTACCTCCCCCTCTACTGCTCCCCCCGCCCCTGTTTGTGCGCTCACATTCTCTCAAATAATAAAATCTTAAAAAAAAAAAAAAAAAACAGAACAGATGGCTTCTAGCAAAGTAATGGGTAAAGTGGCTCATGGGGAAGGAAGAAAGTACTTTTTCCTGACGATTTCAACCTTTGTAGGTTTCCAGTTTCACCTGACAAACTTTGCAGTTGGAATTCACTGTGTTCTCCACACCTTTGAGAAACAAGTAATGCTTCAGCAGGAGAACCCGGCACAAAGGATCACTCAGAGACTTCAAAGACCTTCCTGTATCTTTCCTGGTGTCATTCGCTGGGCCTCAGCCCTCAAGTTATCAACTTTTCTCTCCTGGACACGGGTCTGCCTTGGTTGGTGAAGACAGGATTCAGAGGGCACTGTGAACAATTTTATTTTTTTTAAGATTTTATTTATTCAGAGAGATGCAGAGAGAGAGAGAGAGAGAGAGAAGCAGAGACACAGGCAGAGGAAGAAGCAGGCTCCATTTAGAGAGCCTGACGTGGGACTCGATCCTGGGTCTCCAGGGTCACTCCCTGGGCTGCAGGCGGCACTAAACCGCTGCACCACCGGGGCTGCCCTGTGAACAATTTTAAATGCTGCACCTGTCTACCTCACAAGAAGGCCAATGCCCGGTGGTCCTAGAGGTGGGGTCAAATGAATAATTTTACATTCAAGGGCTGCTTACGACTGCTACAGACTCTATTAACTGTTCATATTAGTATCAAAATAAATAGCATGGATAGGGCTAGAAATGAGTGTTTGGTAGATGGATAACATAGATGTTTCTTACCAAATAGCATTAATATATTTTAACAACCAGGCCATCTTAACGTAATAGAGATCTTATTTTATGAAGACTGGACTCAGCTTTCTCCTCAGGTCACCAGGGAAGAGTGAAAAGATCGCCACATTTGGATTCCTGCCTAGTCACTACAAGTGAGTGACCATGAGCAAGTTACCTAACCTAGAAAGAAGGAGGGAGCAGGTAATAATACTCATCCTGGTGGTAGTTGTAGAATAGCATATTTGGGATGTACCATTCCCAGCAGAATGCTGGTGTGGAAGAGACATTCCCTTCCTCCCATCAGGTTTTCTTTACTACTGTTACAAACACTGATCATAGAGTTTTCATGACAACATGCTGCATTCCAAACTCCTCTATTTGCTTAGTTGGGTCAGAGTACCATTTTTCTGTGCTCCTTCCAAAAACAACCCCCCCACCACCACCAAAGAAAAACCAGAGTTCCTAAAAGGCCATATGAAAGAGTTTATTCACTTATTTTTCCAGTTTCCTGGTTGGTCAGTGGCATCTGGCCACAAAGATCCGGTGAGTAGTCATCAAAACTAAAGAAAGTGAGCTTCTATGAAAAACATTCTGGTATAAAGTTTCCACCATTCAAATTTAGCCCAGGACTGCCTATTCATTCTCACCACTTCCTGTTGTATTTCGGTGTTCCTTGTGGTGGGAAATTGTCCCTGAAATAACATGAAGTGTCCTATGTGACTATGCTTCTACTGAAAGTTTTCAGAGCAACACGGTGGGAAGGAAGAAATGTGAAGTTTTTATATCTGAACACAAGGTTGTAGTGTTTGTTGGAATGTATGGAGGGAAGCTTGGATCTCTAGGGCTGAGTTGTGAAGAAGAATGCACTGGGTGTTATGTGCCTGGGGACATGGGGTGGCGGGTGGGGGGAGACGCCACCAAGACCCAAGAACACAGGATGGGGCCTTCCACCATCCATACGGAATGTTAGGCACTGAGGCTGGCACCTTTCAGGAGACAGGGCCTTGGACCCTGGAATTTGCTAAGTTTGCCAAACTGGAATCCTGCAAACCTCACTAGCAAGTCTATCAGGGCTTTTCCACGAGCACCCAGACTTCAGACCTCAGAAACAAAGCAGAGTCACAACAAAGCATCCTCTCTTTCTCTTCCCTGGTACAGCATGTGCTTAGGCCTTATTCATGTTTGTGTTAGCTGCTTATCCTCTCCTGGTTTTTAATACAATCGTAGCTTTATTTTATATGGCATCCCAAGCCCTGCCTCAAAATAACACCACCACTTCTGAAGTGGACGGCTGATGAGGACAAAGAAGGTTTTCAAAGAGCATTCAGGGTGACATGTAGAAAGCCACAGAAGGCTATCTCACACAAGCACCACTGAGAAGACACTATCCCCAACACAGGCAAAACTGTGTGGACAATTTGATTCAGCCAACGAGGTCCCAGGAAAAAGCAAAACCCAGCAGGTCCACTTGAGGCCAGGATCTGAAGAGTTTTGCAAACATGAAATTGGACCTTGCCCCAGGACCAGCAGAGAGGCTTGTGGGTAAATGATAGGATGATTTTATATTTCCATGTCGAAGCTCATGGCCCCCAGAAGCACAGAGACCGTCTGGCAGTGAATAATGCAACACAGACCATGGAGTTTCGCCCCAGATCCCCCCGTGAATTTGATAAATTGCAAGTTTTTAGACCCCACCCAAGAGATTCTGATTCTGGGGCGGGCCTGGAACTGACATCTTTCAACCCCCCCCCCTCAGGTGATGCTGATACTGATCTATAAACTATACTCTGAGAAACACTTTCTGAGCTCCACTCACTTCTCTAACCGTAAGATGACATTCCAAACCACTTTTTGTAAATAGCGTTTTTAAGTGCTTACTTTGGAGAAATTTCCTGTTTGCTGAAAAGTTTCCTAAAAGACAAATTTCTCTTACAAAATTTCCTATGACAGGGACCTTCTGCCCTAAACTGTTTATGGTTATTTTTATGGAGCATCTACCAGGTGCTTAAAATTTGGGAGAAGAGCACAGATGAACTAAACTGTCTGTTGACAGATTCATTTCATAGCTCTGCTCGTGAAATGCCTCACAACAGAGTGGGTATTTCTCAGAGCCCAAAAGAGTTCTTTGGGTGGCCCTGCAAGCTCCTAGTAACTGGGCTTCGTCTGGTCATAGAAATGTCATTCACCACCTTCACAAGGAATACCTACCACTGCGCTTGCTTCCCAAGCAGGCTCTGGGGGGCAGGAGTGTGCATGTATGCTTTTGTGGAGGCAACCCATTAGAGAGGGTGAGCTGGAGAAGATACAGAGCTGACAAGTCCTGGAATAGCCCTGGCATTGAAAGGAAGGAAAACCTGTTTCCTGGCTGTGTGCTGCATGATAATTTTGGGTTTCATCACTAAGAATGATCCTTAAAAGGCATCTAGGAGGTAAACACCCAGACATCCTATGACCCAGTGGTTCCACTCCCAGAACACAGCAGAAATGCGTGTGTGTATATTCATCAAAAGATGGATTGGAGAATCTCCACGGCAGCACTATTTGTCATAGCCAAAGCTAACAACAATTTACATAACTGTCAACAGCGGTATAGCCACCCAAGGGAATGTTCTACAGCAATGACAGCGAAGGAACAACATGGGGAGTGGATCTCACACACACAGGTTTTAAAAAAGTAATCCCTGTGCCTAAGGGGGCAGCTCAAACTCATGATCCTGAGATCAGGAGTCACATGCTCTACTGATTGAGCCAGCCAGTCACCCCTCACAAGCACAATGGTGAATGAAAGAAGCCAGATACAAAGGAGTGTCTACTGGGGGCGCGTGGGTGGCTCCGTCAGTTCAGTGTCCAACCGTTGATCTCAGCTCAAGTCTTGATCTCAG